ATGTGGGTATGGATGTGGGTGTGGGATGGGTGTGGGGTGTGTGTCTGAGTGTGGGTGTGGGTATAGATGTGGATGTCTGGGTGTATGTAGGTGGGTTAGAGCGTCGATCAGAGTACACAAAACAATTGGACTCACACGGATAATCATACCCGCATCTACACAGGATGTGGATGTTGGTGTTGGCGTGGATGAGGGTGTACATGTTTCCAAGTGAATGAATCCGGCAACAGATCTGATCGAATCCGATATATCGACAAAATCCTATGGGAGTCCAGGACACGGAACCACTCATGGATCCGACGGGTGAAACATATTTAATTAGTTGACTAATAGTTACTAATTGGTACGAATAGTAGAGGTCAGTAAGAGTGGTGCGTTCGATTCCGTCAAATTCCAGCAGTAGAATCCCATAGGATTCCAACACTAGAGATCCGAATGTCGTTGCGGGTTCCGGATTCCGATGAGATTTCTCCAGTTTTATAGAAATTCATATAAAATCCGATCGGATCCGAGTCGGTCCTACTGCCGGATTGAATCTTCTTGGTAGATAGGCGTGGATGATGGTTTGTTGGGGTGATGGGGGGAGGAATGTGGATGCGGGTGGGCGTGAGTGTTTGTGTGGACGGCTAGGATTAGTGGGTCTGGATCTTTTCTGAGAATACATACTCACATCCACATCCTGGTTTGCGATCAGAAACTTCTCCAGTATTACGCTTACCCACATCCATGGTTTAGGATTGTGTCCATGTCCTAAGTATACAGTATCTCATTCAATTCGCAGGTGCATTGTAGAGATTGTCGTTTCTTATCTCTTTAATAACTGAAATTGAGGAATAGAATAGGAGAGGAGACAGGTAAATCATGCTAGATATAGACCGCATCAGAGAATTGAGATAAATAAAATTTCAAACAAATATGAGACAGTTGCAAAATAGTGAATAAACGCGATCGGAAACTGATAGACATTGATAAATCGATCGGCTTAAATAAAGTCGATCATGGTTGTCAATGTCATATGGGTATCAATCGTTTTCAATATTCGCATCGTCTTGGCACTAAGTATCTAGCATTTAAAATGATTTCTGTTGCTTTTTGAATCTTTCTAATGGTTTACTCACCACGGTGAAGTTATTGCAACAGAAGAGTCTTGGATAATATTGATTGTGTGCTGCTGTTGTTGATTGGGATTTTTTTGCGACTTACAATATTTGCTTGTGTTTTTCAAATGATTTGTTTCTTACTTTTGCAGTATGGCAACACTTTCTGCTCCATTTTTGTTTGCTTTGCCAGCCTTTATTTCGTTTTCTTTTTAAATTATTTTCAAATATATACTCTATTGAAAAGGACTGTACATGGCAACAGTAAAACATGCAAAAGAAAAGTGAACGAAGAACAATAATAAAGAAGAAAAAAAATTCATATTTGTTCAATGAAATTCATTTTTAGATGGAGTACAGAAATTGATGTTCATTTCTATATAATATGAGGTGGTTGGAATCGTTCAAAATTAGACAATGACTAGCAACGAGACATTTCATTACATATTATTGATAGTTAACCGAGGTTTTGTTGACTAACGAAGAATCAGAAAGATATATGATACACATGACAACGTAGATATATATTCTGAGGTTTTCTTTTCATAATTTCTCATAATCAATAGATGCTGATTGATACAAATGAAATCTTCAACGATTTTATCATAAGTCAATCGGATACACATAGTAATAGGCCATAATAAGTCAAAATATTATTTGATTAAACAGAAAATCGGACATTATCAGGATGTGGCGATAGTTTTACGTAAATATTCACTTTTTAAGATCTATTTAAAAACAAAATATCGATAAGAATTTAATATCGTTAGAAAACTCAGTATATAGTACCAGCATAGAATGTAAATTATGAAGCATAAATATACAATCGTAAAAAAACTGACATTTTTTTTTCACTCTGTTTATTTTTGGTTTTTTTTTCCCAACATTAAATACCAATAGACTATGTTTTATATAGAAATACATATCTTCATTGATCTTCTATGAATAATTTCACAATTATATGAAAATACAAAATGAAATTTATTTATTGTGTCTTTATGTTCACTACACAATATTCTAGAGTGAATATTTGAAATTCTCAGATACGAATAAAGCAAAAGAATAGTTATGCATTTTTTCTCAAGTAATAACTAAGTTTTATTTGATATTAAGGATATAGTCACATGTATGTGTATGGATGGTGTGGTAATGTATAAAGAAGAGAACTTTAAGCTGTGTGAGTTATTGTAAAGGACTGAAGCAATATAGTGAAATCAAACTGTACGTTCTTGTATGGACGTGTAAGAATCTGTGACCGATCTCATTGTCTGATTGGATGACTTGGATTCATTCGTTTGAGCTAAAACTTTCAGAATGTGATAAATGGTATGAGATCTGTTGTTGGAGAAAATTCCAAATAGAAACTTCTTATTACAGTTTTTTTTCGTTATATCCTGCAAAATGCTGAAAGTCCAATAAAACGATCATGAAAGGCTTAAGGACACGAACAAGTTTAATGTTATCATCACGACTATGATTCCTACTTACGAGTTCAAACAGAGGATATCAGTTGGAGAAATTCTCTCTATATCTATTTGCTGATAAATAGGACAAAAAAAGATGTTCGCTCATGTTTTTATCATAGTCATACAAATTATATTTAAACTTTTTTCTGAGTTATTATTCAAACCATAACACAAAAATAAGGAAATATTTGCTGCTTTTCGACAAAATATATAAAAAAATATATATCTTCACGAATTTTCAGATGTAGTAATAGAAATTGGTGATATTATTGATTTTTTTTTAGTTTTACACTCGGTTCTTGTCGTTGTAACAGTTCAGCAACAGCATGATGAAAATCTGCTCGATTAAATAAAAATGCACTAACATATCCATGAGGAATATATCGAATATGAACACCAGGCCATACATCGTTCATATGTGGAATACCATCATGTGTACAAACAATAAACATAGCATTAGATATATTTGATGAAATTGGACGTGAATAATTATGTAAAGATATCTTTAATAGGATCGAGAACAATCCTATTTGAATCTATCGATCTATTTCATTCACATAAATAATCATAAAGTATTTGATAGGCTTTAGAAAGTACACCATCACAAAATACTGTTGAACTTGATGACCAAGAAGCACAGGATAAGCGAGAAAGTGGATCAGGCCAACTAAAATATAAATATATACACAATGGCTACCTAAATTATTCAACTTTTACGCAACAAAAAACTGCCGTAGAGAGCGCAAGTACTAGGTACTGAGACATTAGGCTTTTAGTTTTCTAAAAACTCTAACTTAGCAAATCCAATAATCAATTTGTTCAATTTATATTCTTTTTGTAATATGATTTGCTCTACTTGAATCACTATTTGAAATTATGATAGATACTGTATATCCATCTATTAAATGGGTCAAATAATAGAATTGAATCTTACTTTGTAAATGCTAATGAAGCCATATGTCCACCAAGTGAAAAACTATGTAAAATAGCTGGTGTTAATTTCATTTTTTGACACCAATGAAGTAATACAAGTGTTTTACCCATAATATATAAATCGGTAACATACAATAATGATGAACGAAATTGATCTTATGGTTTTATTAAACAATAATACGGATATTCAAGAAGAATTGAACCTATACGATATTGATTAATTAATGGGACTGCAGTAAGCAATCTTCGTCGACTAAAACCATGATCACCTGTTCAAGCAAAACAAATTTCTATTGGAATTGAATCAATACCAAAACGATGATCACGTGGTAAAACAAGTTGAAAATGAGCTGTAGCTACTTGAGGTGGAACCTATTCAGAGAAATATATCAAAAACAAAAAAAGATAATATTAATTAAATGATTAAAATGATTTTAATTTCTGACCAAATGTGGTAAATAATTAGCAAGTGGTGAACGAAATCGAGCATTTATATAATTTTGATTACCTTTTATTTCTTGTTTAATTATTTCAACAATATTTTCTTGTATATTTTCAGCGGGGCACAAGTTTCAAACATTCATCTCTGACACCAATTTTTTCACGTTGATAGGTAAAAATTTCTTGTACATGAAATGGATTTCCTCAACCACCTACAAATGATTGAGTTAATATAAACCTCGAAAGAGATTATCGAAATTCATCATTTCAGTCGTACTCGCATCTTTAATATCATCTAGAGAATTGTTGATCTGATCTTCTTTTTGGAGGGAGTATGGATATGGGTGTATAGTAGACAAATGATTCACACATCACACCCACACCCTATTCGTAACTGTGATAAAAAATGTCAATGACGCACGACACTAATTATCGAGAATTTCGTACGTGCTTCAAAGATATCAGGAAAGTTGAAGTTTTAAAATATGATATTTAATTTATTTGAGAAAAAAAAATAATAAAACACTTCATGATTCATTTTAATCGTCAATATCAACTGTCAAATCTATTTTTTTAACATTTGCTGGTAAAAATTGTCCATCATCACGTCGTTGATGTCCTCGAATACCACTTAAATAAACTTTTGGTTGTGGTACATTCGAATAATTATCACGTTTTGTTTGAATAAATTGATCTTTTGGTAAATAAACTTGTGTAAAATTTTCTCGTCGAAAATTACTTGTATTAGTTTGTACAGATTTTGTTAAACGTCTACGTAAATTAGCTAATTTTAATGCTTTACGTCTTAATTCCCATTCATTCCATTCATAATTTTTAACAAAATTTTTTTCATAAAAATGTATATCAGTTTGTGTACCAAAATCAGCTTTCATTTGTGGTTTAGATGAAACTTGTGCTAAATCACCATATGATGCAACATTTGAAAATTGTGTATGTAAATCAAGTAATTGTATAAGTTCAGGATTTAATTTAGCATTATTTGCTATAGATTCAATATATGTTGAAGGTTTTCGACAAAATAATACAGCTTCTTTTGGTTCACTAAATGAATAATAACGATCATTTATTTGAACAATACCAATACGTGGATCACCATGAATTAATTTAAAATCATTTAAGGCTAAATTATAGGCACAAAAACCTAGAAAAACAAAAGAATATGAATATAGTAAAAATAAGATTTAAAGGATATGTTGAAGACAGTATTCTCATTTCTAGATGAACAACTACTCCATTCTCTACAGCATGATTATGATACTAAGAGCGCATTGTTCTTCCGAGTCCTCAAAATGTAGATTACTTACTCCTGTCTTTTAGCTATCGTGCAGTACGGCGTAGAAAAATATCTCGTATCTTCTGGATGACTATCCAATTCTAATTAGAAAATTTCAGTGAGAATATCGAAGTACGGTTCAATTCGTTTCGGGTCTGAACTCAAAAAAGTTTGGACTCAATAGACTGTCATAGACCGATCTAACGCAGATTTCTGGAGCTCCACGTACACACTAACTAATCACAAGGGCAAGTGTATGTCACAACGTAATCAGCATGGTATCGAATGAGTGATCCGAGATAAGCAACTATTAGTGGCTTGTCCAGGGTCATCTCATGTCTGATGATAATGAGATTTGTAGGTAGTATTTTGTGGATACATGTCAATTAATGTAGTCACTCGGTCATGACGGCCCTGCTGAATCTCAAGCTGGATAAAACACTGATAGAAGTATAGAACGAAAATTTCGAATTTTCTTCATGCAATATAAGTATTGTCAAATTGAAAGATTATTTATTTCGCATGATAGTTCGTATCTAATATTTTAAACCATTGAGAAATTCAATAATTAACTTTTACCTTTATACATTATTGGTAATTTATCAAAATTTTTTGTTGTATCCTGATAATACCAAACTCCTTCAGCATGTCGTTCTTCTGGTTGTACAACAACACCACCATTATTAACTTGTAAACGTTGTTTATCAGTTACAATTGATATTTTCATTAAACATTTTCTTATAGCTTCATCAGCTAATAATTCTTTAGAATTAAGTGTATATGGTTCAAGACTATATACTATAAAGAAATTTTTAGTAAAAATTTAAAGAAAATTCAAATGAAAATTTTATTTACAAATATTTGAAAGTACACTAAGTAAAACCATTTCATCTTGAAAACCAAACCATATTGTTGCTAAGTGCATAAATTGAGGATAAACTTGAGCAGTAGGTACTCTAAATTAAGAAATTATCTTATTCAAAAACGAAAAAAAGAATTTCTGATGTTTCAGAAGTTGCTATCTCAAATTGACATATGTCATAATATTTAAGGAAGGAATGAAAATGATGTTTATATTTAGTTTTATAATTAATGAAAGTTTTATTCTACAATGCAATTATTTGATAAATCAATTTATACTCTACGAAATAATACTTTGAATAAGTTTTAAAATATGACTATTCCACGAAACTTTTCTATTCACTCTTTCAATGAATTATTGTATTTTCAATTTTATTTTGCAAAAATAAATTCTTTTGAACACTGGAATTAAAACATGAAAAAATAGAAGCTATTTTAATCTGTTCATTATTTAGTATTTAATTTTTATAATAAAAAAAAGAGATTTAACTCAATCCAATAATCTCTAAATATAAAATAAATCCTCTTATATTCAAACAATGAACGTATAATTATTATAATTACTTTGACGGCTACAGATCCATGAAAAAAAAATTGTTAGATAGTTCATAAACACCTACCAGAGATGGGCAAGTCATTTTTTCAAGTCATTTAGAAAAAACCTTTTAATTTTCCTCATCTAAAGAGTGTAAAGCTAATTTCAACGTGGCTAAATTCAGACATGTTCAGGCTACAAAATGATATATTATGGTTAAAGTTTTCTTCCATCAGAAGCACCGTAATACCTTTAAAACACTGTGACTTGATGGAAATGACTTGACTTGATCACGTCAAGTCAAGTCATGGTGTTTTGAACGTATTACGGCGCTTCTGATGGAGAAAAACTTTAACCATAATATATCATTTTGTAGCCTGAACATTTCTGAATTTAGTCACATTGAAATTAGAGTCAAACTCTTTAGATGAGAAAAATTATAAGGCTTTTTCTAAATGACTTGAAAAATGACTTGCCCATCTCTGACACCTACTATTACCGAAACGAGTTGACAATTCATCACTAGACGCAAAGTTGTCTCGAGTAGTACACGGTGTGATCAAGTTTTTTAGTCAAAGTCATGAGTCGCGATCTCTTTCCCGAGTTCAAATTTCTCCTGTAATATTTATATCTAGTTGTTTTCATTTAGAAAAAAAACAATGTCTGCAAAAACACATCGAACATATAAGAGATAAAAGCGATATACTACTATACCGCTAATATCTTTGGATATTCATTTTGTTACAAATGAATTTTTCTTTGAAGAAAATGATTTTGAGAATCGATGAGCAAAAACGATAGAAAAAGACCACCTCCGGCTTGAGATGCTTCTGATTAGGTGCATAAAGTACGATAGACGCTCCTTTTTTAGTGGTTCGATATATGTGTTGATCACATCCAATGAATCGAGAGTACCGAGAAGCCGTACAAATTATCTTACATAAGAGAGTACCTGTCAGGTGTATGAAGTCGACCTGTTCGAGGACTCTTTATTATTATTAGAATGTCGTTCTTGAGTACTGTCACATTATTATAATGAAATCGTAAGTATCTTTTTTTGGGTTACTCTTAGAAAATAAATTTCTTTAACTAACGCTGTTTTATTTTGTATTGTTGTTTTAAGTTGTTCTAAACGAGCTTTAAATTGTGATAATAATTCTTCAACTTCATGTGCACTTTGTCGTACATCATTTAAAAGTATATTAAGATAAAGTTCAAGTTGTCGTGAATTAATCATTGATTCTTGAACTTTATGTTTAGTTGCATCTTTACTTAATTGTTTTTGTGATAATGTTGTCATTGTATCCAATACAGCAATCAATTTTTCACTTGAATCAATAGCATCATCTGTTTGTTGTTGAATTTCTTTTAATGTTGCTGGTATAGCTTCATTTAATATAGCTAAATTATAAAGAGAAAATTTTTTTTTCTTTGTTAAATTTAAATTCAAGTTTGTTTTTTTTTGATTTATTTACCAGGTAAATTATCAATTCCTTCACCACCTTTTCCACATTCTTTATTAAATAAACGAATACCAGTAACAATTTGTGTTAATTCAATTAATTGTCGATCTTTATCACGTTTTGATAAACTAAGAAAATTACCTAATTCTGTTTGTGGAAAAACACTTTGTAAGGCAGCTGTTGCTTCACGTACAACAGATATATCTAAAAAATCAATATTTTATTATTTTTTTCTTATACAAAAAATGAAAATTTTTACCTGTTGGTGAACCAAGTCCAGATCGAAGTAAGACACTTGAAACAATTTTTCGATAAAGTGATTCAAGTTCATCTTTTGTCGATGCTCGATTATCAGTTATTTCACGTAAAATTGGTTGAAGACGAGTTTCTATATATTTAAAAAAAAAACAAGGTAAAAATAAAATTCTTTTGTCTTTTTCTTTTTTTTACCAAGTACACGTCGATGTTCAGTTAAAAATTCATCACGTGTTGTATAATTCATATCAAAATAAACTTGCATTTTAATTGTATCAAGTGATGCTGATTTATTATCAAGTAAACGTTTAACACATAAATCAATAAGACGTTGTACATCATCAGATGCTAGAACACGATCTACTTGAAAATCATTTTGTGGTTCAAGTACAACAGCTTTAACAATAAATGCTACTAATGTTTCAGATACACCTAAATTTAAGAAATATTAATACTAAATAGAGAAAGTAAAAAACAAACAAACCTTCGCCACGAGATGCACATTCTTGCACAATTTCTCGTATAATATTTTTAATAACACCTTCAGCTTGTATACGATTAGCAGTACCACTCATGGTTTATTTTATCTAAAATGAGAAAGGACATATTCTTTTTCATCAAGAATCAAAAAAAATTTATACAATAAAAAAAATGTGTCATGTTAAATATTAATAAATTTTAAAATGTGCTTAATTATTACTTTGGGAATAGTGATTAAATAACTATTTTTCTCCGACAGAATAAATATTCCTTGCACGAATATGTTTCTTTTATTGTGTTTTATTCTTGAGATTGAATTATTTTTAAAAAAACGGAAGGCAAAAGATCATTAGCAAGTTAGATCAGTAATTAATTTAGACTTCCGATTGTCAGTCAGAAATACAGATTTGAAACAATTAAGAATCTGTACTATGTAAATATCGAAAACTTTAGCAAGACAGTATTAATGTAAGTATACATAAAAGTTTCAGGGAAGTATCTTGATGTTCACCTAATTTTGTTTTGAATTAAGATAAACTGACCAAAATGTTAATAGAATAAAAAAACAAAATATATATTCTTCATTTACTGATGTTTTGAAAATTTACATTGTTCGATACCATTTGCTAGATTTTATTTAACATCGTTTCTTAGCAACTAACATAAAATCTTTCTATTCTTTACAAATATTAAAAAAAGGTGGAATTGTTATCGATTGAGAAATAAAATAACTATAATTATAATTTTAATTAATCAAGTTTAATTATAAATAATTAAAATATTAGAGGTCGCTCATAATCAGTAAAAAACAAAATTGTTAATATATTTATGTAGTTTAAAGAAAATCATTAACTAACTATTCTCGACAATGATTGAGTGGCTTATATTAATAGTAACAATACAAAGCAATCTGCATGCCAGTCTTTCCTTTCATTTGTCTTCTTTTTTTGTTATTTGACGTTCGTATTATTATTGTTCTTTCTTGGACGACAAGATGAGATGCACGAACAAGGCAATAGTTAGTTATTGTCTTCCTTCCGTAGTGTATCATTGTAGACATGAGTTAGCAAAGAAAACGCAATTATGTTTATCCAAATACAAGTCTTCTACTGTCGCACAACAAAATTCTTTTGTCAAATGATGTTCGAACGAGAATGATGACAGACACCCGTCATTTAGTTCGAGAAAGAAAAAAAAAAAAAAAGAAAGAGGAGAGAGCATCGACCAAAATAACATACATTGCTTATATCTATTTTGTTGTGTATTCTAGCAATATAAGTCGAAATAAGATTAAGACATAGCCTACACTATCTTTCTAATGGAATCAAGACGATAAGGAATAGAATCGGAACGAATGAACGAACAACTATCTGTCACTTTTTGCATGATAAAATAGTCTTGTTTTGTATGACTGCAATTGGATCTGTGTTTTCTTTTTTATCTTGAATCAGATCAAACAACTTTGTTGTTCACGTATTGTAAATGTTTATAGAGGCCAGATATATTGCTTGAAAATTTAAGTTCTGCTATTTTATCATAGAAGATAAATAGTTCCCTGAAGATAGTTGATCAGGTGTAGAGGCACACATAATGAATCAATTTCTCAAGCAAAATTTTTTTTTATATGTGTTGCCTACGCACATACATCATTAATGGTGCGTATTGTTTCTTCGTATATATATATATATATATTCTCATCCTTAGTACGTTCAACTATGGATTCAACCGTTATAAGCGGTAAGTTTCTTGAATGAAAAGAAACACCCAATACAAATATTACTTTCTTTCTTCTGTTCTTGTCGATACTTTTTTAATTTTATTCTTGTGTCATTGTTGCTCTTGTATGCTATTATTATTGCTGCAAAAAATAGAAAAAAGGCAAATAAATAATTTACAATGAAAACTACTATCTTTTTCTCGGATTTTCTTTTTTTGCTTTTCATTAGGTTTTAATGAATTTCTGCACGATGCAAGAAATATTAAATTCCATTGAATTTTACTTTTGATCTTTTATAGATAGTCACATGAAGCTTGAAGAGCTAGTCACGAACATATATAGTTTTCATTTCAATTTCACTATTGTTCCATTGAGAAACGATAAAAGAAACTCGATTGTCTAAGATATTATTATGTATAACCTATACAGCAATTCTCAACATTTCAATGATACCTATTTTCTATACTGCTTTAATATGAAACATTGACTAGAAATAAGAAAAAAAAAATAATATAATTAGATTTAGAGTTAACAGAGTTAAAAAAAAAATATTCTCTTGGATAGATAACTTCAACATGCTTCAAGAGCATGTATTTGTAATCACCTTTATAAGCTTGTCTAGTGTTCTCTTATTTGACAAGGAAAGAGCATGTGTCATATTCAATTAGAATCATACGATTGCCAACTACCCAAGTACCTATTTAGTTATTTTTAGATTTTGTGTATTTTTTTTATTAAGAAAATTGACATTTTTCTGATTATAACGACAGAAGTTATTTTATGAAAAATACTGTTGTACATAACAGTTACTATTTTTATATTTCATCATTAGAACATAATAAATATCAGACATGTGATTAATACAACAAAAAAAAACTCTGCGTCCGAGCACATATGTCTATATTTCAGAAAAGAAAAACATTTTTAACAAAAAAAAAAAAAAACTTATGCTCAATCTTGATAGTAAAGCTTCGCTTGTGAGTCCCCTCGAGATAAATTTCCGTAAACGATGTTTTCTTTTTTATTTTTGCTGAAACATATATGGCCTCAAGTAGTTTCTTGTATTGATTCCGGAATCTGATATTTATTTTGTTCTGACGTTGAAGTACAAAAATAGTAACAACTATGTACAACAGCATTTTTCATAAAATAACTTCTGTCGTTGTAATCAGAAAAACGTCAATTTTCTTAACAAAAAAAAAAAAAAAAAAAAAAAAAAACACAAAATCTAAAAATAACTAAATAGGTATTTGTGTTGTTTGCGAGCCGATGATTCTAATAGGATGTGACACTTGCTTTTTTTTTGCACAAGAAAACTAGATAGGCTTATAAAGGTGATTAGAAATACATGCTGCTTTGCAACATATTGATATTATCTATTCAAGATAATATTTTCTTAACTGTATTAACTCTAAATCTAATCATATAACATTCTGTTTTCTTCTATTTAATCTGTCATACAAAAAAAATATAGAAATATGATATTTTTGAATAGTTTTTTCAAAAATAGACATGATTGAAATATTGAAAAATTCGATCTAAGTCATACATACTAATATCTTATTTTCGTACTATACATAAATGGATTGAAAATAAAAATTCAATCAAATTTTACATTTGTCACATTGTACATGCGTGTATATGTATATTTATTTTTTATTTTTTCTAGTTTTGTTTCTCTTATTCTTTAGGTGTTTTTTTCTCTCTAGCATAGTACTTCGACAGTAGCTAGTGATGTATGTACGTGTATGCGCATGCTTTTCAAAAGAGAGGCGACCCCCCCCCCCCCCCCCACACTCTTTTTCGCCTCCACGACGACCACTTCCGATACAGCACCACCGACTGAGTTCTTCGACTAAGAGCCTGACAAATGCGCAACTACGTGAAAAAGACGAAGAAGAAGAAGAAGCCAGGAAAAAAATAGATATTGGCTCTTACTATTACTACATGTTTCTTTTATGGAGGCCGCACGTTTGCAATAGAAAAAAAGAGAAGTATAATGAAAGTTGTCAACGCGTGTATAAGGGAAAGCAAGAAAGAGAGAGGGGCAAGGAGAGCAAAAAAAAAAGAATCTGTATATATTTATATTGTTGTTCGCATGTTGACCATGCGAACTTGCTGTCGTCAATTGGTATAGACTGTCGTAAGTTATTTTACTTGATTTTTGCAGCTATTGTCTAGTCTTATTGTTAGAAAAGATAATCAGAATGATGTGAAGAAAAATAATAATAATAATAATAATAATAATATTGTCGTTGAATGATGAACAATGATATGTTACGTGTCACACGCAAATACGAGAATGACAATGATGGTATCAGGTGGCTGACAAAAACAATGATGATTATTCTAGTTTTTCTATCTATTTGAAATGACAATCGAACATTTCGTGATACTTTCTATGTGATGTCTTGAGTGTCGACATCGATTTTGTCTTCGAGATAAACAATGGAAATATAAACTAATCATGCTATGGACGTTTTTATATATATATATATGTTAGAAGCTAGTCGGTTGTTACTACACACACACACACACACACACCCATTCATTCAGTTAGTAGAATAGAAGCGAAAGTCGGTGAAGTTGAACAAATTAGGACGTCATCGTTGTTTTCACTTGTTGAACGTTGTAATGGAAGAGAGAAAGACCGACAGAACTTTTTTGCATACAGAACAAGAGACAAGAACAAAACGAGTTTTCAATAATATATTGCTCTTGTTAGATGCGCACTAACATAGAAAGGAACTAGAAGAGCAAGAATCGGAAGCTTGATGTTAGACAGACATCTTGCAAAAGAGAAAGAGAATTCTCATTTTCTCTTTTTAGAAAAATCATCATCAACATTTTACTCGTCCTATATAACATCTTACATAGTTCAATACGTTGTAGACTTCAATATTTCATTTATTTAATATTATCGTAAGTTATATCGTATGTAAAATGTATTTGATGATGAAGTACTTCTAGAAGGACTATAATTTATTTTTTTTTAATAAGTTCAATTTATTTTTCATGTACTTAAAAGTAGAATGAAATCAGGTAAAAGAGTAAGATGTGTCCTTGAAAAACAGAAAAAAAACTCTTAACTACTCAAGAGAACACTACGTTTCTATCTTAGAAAATTCATTACTTTATCGTGTCATATTTCTTACGTAAAAAAAAAAATAAAAAATAAATAGTCATTATTTTTATCTGTAGTAGTATATATGATAGCTGATAATGTTTTTATTTGAAAATAGATTTAGACATCTATATTAAAAGATTTGTTTAATGATTATTAAAATGTAAATTTGTTTACAAGACAAAAAAAAAAAATAATCAGCTGTATAAAGATCAAGATTAGCGGATGTCAATATTTCTCTTTTTTTTTTCTTCTATTTGACAATAATAATAATAAGTAATGTTTGCTCGTCTCAAATATATAAATATATTTTTTTTTTCTAAGCATAGTATCATTTCGTTTATGTCTGGTGTTCGAGTCAACAAGCGGAAAATTGTATTTTAATGATGATGATCATTCTGCTTCATCAACTATTCATAGTAATTGCTAGATGTAATTTTCGTTATCTTTTGAAGTAGATAAGCATATATATCTATGAATACCTTGAGCAATCTAACGATTGATGTTTATTATATTTGTAAAATAGAAAGAAGAAGAAGAAGAAGAAGAAGAAGAAGAAGAAGAAAAAAAAGAGAATACTGGAATATTTAGAACGTTTTGTTATTCGTTCACATGCGCATTTGTCCCTAGTGAGTTTGTCGTTGCCAATAAAGCGCGAAATAAAGAAAAACGACGTAGATAGATCGGTTGACGTTATTCGTATGTTTGTGACTGATGAAGAGAAACAGAAATAATACATCAACACAACAATCTAGTGATGATCTTTTGCCAACCAACGCTTTGCCATGTCGAATTTAGAGATAGATACATTTGATGTCTATATATATATATATATATAGATAGATAGATGTGTACACGCATGTTAGATGAAGGACATCATTCAACTAACGAATGAGAAACATAGTACTGTTACCGTTGATGATATAAGAAAAAAAAAAGAAGAAGAAGACATGGTAGACACAGTGGTCGCGCATTGCCAAGTGCATAGAGGAGCATCTTGCTTGCCCGACAAATCAATCTTATCTTCTTCTTCCTGCTTTGTGCTGTTCTAATGTAGCAGTCGTTGTTGATTGTCTGCCCTACAAGTATTCATCATCTTTTTGCTGATGGTGGCTTAGTTGACGTGAGCGCCTGTGTTTTTCTCTGTTCGGGTCGTTCTCGTTTACCCGAATTTGGCCATGCATTCAAATTGGCCGCTACTATATATATATATAAACTAATGGTGATGTAAGAGAAATTGAAGGGGAGAAGGAAAGCTGAGAAAAAGAAAAAGAAAAAGAAAAAAGACCTTCTCCTAATTGCTGTAACAACCAGTCGATCCACGATTACATATGAAAGACGAGAACGACGAGTTTTCTTCTTTTTTTCTTTCTTTTTTTTTCTATTACTTCTTCCTCTTATCGTAACAACTAATAGCTGTTGGATGGGCGCCGAAACACGTGAATTGTAACCAAAAATATGAAGCGAGTATGACAGTATACATAGACAATATTCAAGATTAGCCTTGTCTTCTAAGCTACTCGTACGAAACTACTTAGGATCGTTGTCATCCGTAATATCTCGCTTGTCAACATATATACATTGACGATTCCTTTATAACAACAATAATAAACAACAAAAGATCACAGAGAGAGAGAGAAACAACTATTATTTCAATGTTATTAATGTACACAGCAGGAAAGACATTGTCATAACAGAAAGATCTTTTTTTTTTTTTACTCTTGAAAAAAAACATACTTTTCTCTTTTTTGTAATATTTAAAAAAGAAAAAAGAAACAAAAAAACAGTTCGTCAAAATCTATTAATATTATGAGAATAACACCCTTAGGTTGTCGAATTGATGAAAACTATTTTGTTGTTTTTTTCTAGATAAAAGTCTTCATTTTATAGCTGATTATATAAGTCTATATCAATCATCTTGTTTCTTTCGTCGTGATCCTTCCGTGTTCATCATCATTATTATCGACCATGCACGATGAAAAGCTATGGTAAATATTGCATACTAATATAAAAAAAAAGAAAATCTATCACATATGTTGTATTTTTCCGATAAAATATACGAAACATAAAACTACCGTATGAGTGACTCATTGTGATAAAATATATAACATATTTTAAAAAACGTGTTTCAAATCTAATCTTGAGCATGTCTCTATCAATTTTTTTTTTCTTGCGAAATCTTATAATTATTACCTTCTGATTTGATTTGAATTAGTAATAACTAGTTCTTAGAACTTGAGAAAAAGAAAAAATCTTAAGATCAAAGCATCTACAAGCGGTATCATCATCTCGATCAAATCGCTTTTTGAAGTAGTACATTCTCAATCTCTTAATATGTTCAAGAACAATGACTAATCGAGAAATTATTTATAACAAGAACATATGACAATGTGTATAAATTTATTATTTTCAATTGAATCGATTATATGTAGTTAGACAAAGAAAATCAAATAAATGAATAAATACTTAGTCGATCGACAATCGACTCATCTATAATACGATATATTCAATTGCGAATACTATGAATAGCAATATATAGATACGATATATGTTATGTTAGTACATACAAATCAAATGGCTTCGTTAAACTTCAGAGAAACTTTCCAATGCCTAAGGCAATCTATGATATTTTGTTCTTTGACATAAATCGATTTATAAATAGGTCAACGAAAATTAATGCTAATATCGATTTTCTAGTAACATGAAAGTGTGCGTGTTTCTATTTTAGTTTAAGATATATTTTTATTGACGTCATTATAAGATAACGAATAAATATAGTATTCAATCGTATTTAAATGAAAAATCTATTAGACATATGAATAAATTAGAATCATTTATATTAATTAAGTAATTATGTTTTATAGAAATTGGTTTTTTCTGTTTTTTTCACTTAAATGCTTTTAAATATAATAATTAGTTCTTTCTATAAAAGAAAAATATTTTCATTGAAAAAAAAATTAAATTAGATATAAAATAATATTCTTGCTTTTTGTTTGCATAATAAAAAGTAAATTATTGAATCATCTTCTCTCTCTCTCTCTTCCTTTTTTTTTAATATGTATTGTATATATACATTAAAAAAAACACATGTGCATACAATCGCATTTATTCTAATTATTTCTATCACAATAGAAATACATAAGAGTAAAAGGAAACAATTCCCAGATCTAGACGAATAGTCAAAGAAAAACTTTTTTTTTTGTTTTTGAACAAGCGAACCGAAATATGGATTCTTCTAGAGATTGACGACATTCTTAACACTAATTGATAGGGCATATGAAAAAGTATAGAGGCTATGATGTCATTGATCTGAAGAAGTACGGAAGCCTGTTCTTAACGTTCCAAATGCATTCACCGCATCATTTAGCATATTTTCTTCATGATGCTCATTGTCATCAAAAATAGTGACGTTTCTCAAAAAAAAAAAATATATATATATATATGCACCACTTTCATTCACATTTTTGCTCGTCTATTGTCATTTTTTAGATGTCAATTAGTCGAACGATGATGTACACATCGTGTTGTAGTGTATTCGAATGCTCATTCTAGTTGATTTCTATACTACATCATTCAATTTCTTCTTTGAATTGACCTATATTTCTTTGTTTTAGTTGCTTTTTTACCACAAAAACAAAACTCATACAATTAAAAACAACATTTAAGAGAAAAACAGAAAAAAGAAATACAATTGTTCTTTTAAGTGTCAGATTGCTTTATCTATAATTGTTTTGTGTTCGCCTGTTGTTAGTTCATCTCGACCATAAATTACTTTCTTTTTCTTAGTGAACATTTGATAGAGAAGATATTTTATAACATAATCTTAAGTTAGATTAGATATTAAGTTTCAATCTTTAATATTCTTAATATAATCAGAATACTTTAAAAATACAATAAATAAAATCTTACGATAAAAGTATACATATTAGGTAAGCAATGCCGTTAGTATTGAATATCAAAAAAAAAACCCAAAACTAGATTGTATATTACTATTACAGCTTCTGTTAATCTTTTTTTAATCTTTCAACATTTAGAATTTTTGATTATATCTATTCATAATTTCGTTATAATAGTTATAAATTCTGCGATTAATTTGAGCAATACTAGTGACATACACTTATCATATAAGACAAAATATTTGTTTATATAATTAAAAACTACTAGATACTTGTCTAAAGAAAAACAAAGATTATATACATATATATAGATGTAAACATCAAAGTCTAATAAAAGAAAATCTTTTTTTAGAAAAAAAAGTTGCTTTAAACATGTAACATTTATATAACCTTCTATTATTACCATTTGTCAATCTAACTGAGTAATTATATGTATAAAGAAGACGTTAAGAATGTATTCTAAAAGGGCAAATATTATGAAATGCGTTCTTTTAACTATTTTGTTTGATTTTTGGTTTGTTTTGATCTATAATCGATGATACTATTTTAAAAGCACATAAATATCAAATGCACTATAAGTAAAATCTAATCTCCGGTATAAAGAATACATTAGACTTATTTTTTTTCCTTTTATTCTTTTTTTATTGAAGGAAATCGAAAAAATCATTGATGTATAAATTATAATTATAATAAAAACAAATTCATTGATATATATGAATGACAATTTTTCTTTTTAGAGTCGATATTGGCGTTTTTATGCGGGCGTCGAATCTGTCGACTGTCATGGTCGATTTTTCAACTGGCAGTTTATTCAAGACGTACATCAATATTTATTTCGTTTTTATCAATTGTTTCATTACTTTCATCGGTTGCTGCTGTCCAACAACAACAAGTTGTCAATCAACAAGAACAACGAACTCTATCTTTATCTTCCATTATATCGACAAATGGAACATCAACAACAACAACAACAACAGTATTTAATAATTCTCGAAGACGAACACATACAACAATGTCTTTATTATCATCAACAATACTACCAACAACAACAATAACAACAGCAGCAACAATAACAATAAATGATGAACTTATTAATAACACAAATAATTCAATGCATCATGAAAATAATACTCGACATCTAGTACATTTAACTATAATTATTATTATTTGTTCATTAATGTGTATTTTAACAATAGTTGGAAATCTTGTTGTTATACTTGCCGTTTCAATTGTACGAAAATTACAAACAGCATCAAATATACTTATTGTTAGTCTTGCTGTTAGTGATGTTTTTGTCGGCTTATTTATTATGCCATTGGCTTTGGGTAGGTTATTTTTAATAATTTATATATAATCAATAAAAATTTATTATTTTTTTTCAAGTGCTTGAAATATCTAATAATACATGGCTATTAGGTTCAGCCATGTGTGACATATGGACATCAACCGATGTTCTTTTATGTACTTCATCAATATTAAATTTTCTCGTTATATCAATTGATCGTTATTGTATTATTAATCATCCATTTAAATATGCTCCTATGCGTAAAGTTAAATTACTTTCATTAATGATAGCCGGTGTTTGGATACTCAGTGCACTTGTTTCATTACCACCCATCTTAGGCTGGGGACGTATGTATCAAATAATTTATTTTCTATAATAAGAACAAACAGAAAAAAAAAGAACTAATTATCTTGAACGATAGTTATAGTTGTCATAAATGAGCATAAATAGTCATTAAGACCAATCAATAATCGTTTATAATGCTGTTTATTCAATTGAAGTATTTGAGTATCATCTAATTGATCATTTTACTTATAAACAAATAGTGATAGTTGATTTTGTCATTGCATATACTCAATATATGCTTATCGATATTGTAAAGTGATTAAGTTCTAATACTCGATATCAAAAATCGATCTTAGGTCAGATGCATTAATATTACATAAAATTTTCAGTTCTATATCATGATGTTTTCTGGAGATGTTCAATAAACAAAGATCAAACGTAGCTCAATTGACAACCGCAAAATTCGCTGTGAATTGTCATTCCTTTTTTTTTTCTTTTGGTTTGAAAGAGCATATTAGAGTGCAAAGTATGACGTAGTCTATATTTTTAAAATTTTTACTTTTTACGGGAAGAAAACGGATATAAAGTTCAACGTTTTGAAAACCTCTTATCAAAAAAAAAAAATGACGCACTAATAATTAAAGTGCTCTTTTATAAAATAGTAGCGACGCTTAATTCAAACAACGATACTTTGTCATGCTCTTTGCATCTTGACATACTATATCAAATAGCAAAAGAAGAAAAATTAAGTATATGAAATGAAGGTTCACTGAGAATTCTGAATCGTACGATTAAAAACGCAAAAGCAAAAAAAGTGTTTCCTGTTTTTTTTTTTGCAAAAAGCATATTTTTCAAGTAGAACGGGCCGGAAATTATCAAAAATTTTACTAAAACATGAAGTTTGGAATATAGGGTAGAAGTCATTGGGTTTAAAATTTTTTGAATCTAATTTATTGAACATTTTAAAGACCCGAGGGGTTCTAATATAGAATCATTTCAATGCTATTCGAACTAATAGATTGGATTTTCTATGTTTTGATATCGAAAATGACATGAATAATATTATTTTTTTATTGATTTCGATTGTGATAAACTATTATTTTTCTTTTTGTTATTCATTTCACTTATGCGGAAAAAAAGTCTTCTCAAAAAAAAAAAATAATTTATTTCATTTTAAGGTCCATCTGAGAACCTTCCTATTTGTCAAGTAAATCCAAAATTAGCCTATCAAATATTTGCAACAATGCTTTCATTTTACATTCCCCTTATTATTGTATTAATTATCTATGCTAATATTTATCGAACAGCACGAACAGCCATGGATCCTCGATCAAGTGTTCAAATGTCTCAATTTTTAACAAATAATAGTTCATCACCAAATGCTGCACATACATCTGAAGTATTAGATCAACAATTAAATGGAAATAGTTGTTCAACTCCACAATTATATTTAAGTGTATCTAATGCAAATACTCATGATGATAATTTACTAACATCAGATGGAAATCGAACATCAAAACGTTCAGAAAATAGTCCGCCACAACGATCAAAATCAGCAACACTTTTATCTCCAACACGATGTTTAGGTCGTCGTATAAGTACAACAATTAATGGTCGTTTATCAATATTTGTTGCACGTCGTTATTCAATATTTCGTCATGTTCATTTACCAAATCAAAAAGCAATACGTACACTTGGTGTTATTTTAGGAACATTTATTGTTTGTTGGCTTCCATTTATGTTATTTGCAATCATAAAGCCTTTACATGAACGTATAACAGGTTTAACAGGTCCACCAAAACCATTAAATGCGCCTCCATGGATTGATTCTGTTTTATTATGGTTTGGTTATTCATCATCAATGTTAAATCCATTAATTTATTCCAAATTTAATCGAGAATTTCGTACACCATTTCGTGAAATAATTTATTGTCGTTGTAAAGGTTTAAATGAAAAAATTCGACGACAAGAATATTTAGAAAATTTATATGGAGAAAATCATTTACAATTACCTGTATCATCACATGTAGCAACAACTACAAGAAGTAGCGGCAATCCTAAATCAGCCGTGTGATACGCTGTGATACACATCTAGACAAATAAATAAAATAAAATAAAAAAAATAATCGAATTTTCTAATCAGAGATGACGGTGAATATATATAGAATGCTCAGAACCGGTTTATTTAATGAGTATTAAAAAAAAAAAAGAAACAAAACATAATGAATGACTTTATTTTTGTGTTTTCATTTGTTTTCGTGTGTGTGCTTTTTACGCAATTCATAGCATTTTGTCTTCTCATCTTTGTGTGTCTTTTTATTGTTCTGCTTTGCAACTTCTATTTTATACAAAAAAACAAAGAGAATGAAATTGCATATAGAAAAAAAAATTTCTCAATTATAATTGTATTGCTTATTTTGACAATCTTATAGCATCGAGATGTAAGAGGATAAACAATTATGAGAAAAATGCGCCAATTGATTATTTTCTTTTGAGTCGAAATAATGTACATCATGTAGATTCTAATGAGTTATGAATACGTTGAAAATAGTTTGTGTTGGTAGCTTATAGCTACCGCACTTTTGTGATATTTATTAATAAAATGTTGTGCTGACTGTTAGGAATACCGGAAAAGACTGTTTTTCCAATTTTCTTTTGAAATTTTCCATAGAAATAGACTTTAAACAGAATAGTCTATTGTGAAAGTTTCAGATCTTTTCATTGGCTTTGGTGAAAGCGTGTCTTTTGTATCATTTATGTATACTGATAGATTCGATGTTCTTATTTCAAGATAGAAGCAAGTCAAAAGATGTAAAATTTTCAAAATGAATTATTCTACTAAAGAATCCGCATTTTTTTCTGAAGAGAATAATGACTTTGATTTTAAAAACTGTAGCAATAAAGTAACAACACAAAGTCTTTTCAGGATATTAAAAAGCTATTAAAGTCTACATGATCCATATTGTTCTGATTTAAAAGTAATCAATCAATTGGTTGGACTTCTCTGATTAGAAAATGATAATAGTAGACATCAAACAGCTGCTATTGTCAAACAAATTGTTATTATATATTAAACAGAAAAATATATCATTTGTTAAATGTTTAGATTTAATATTAATTCAATGACTAGCTCATAAATTCAAACAAATTTGTAAAACATATTATGTCACAAAATTAAAACAATTCTATCATGTTTCATATATTTATTTCATAGAAACAAGATAATAATAGAAATTAATGTTATATATGAAAGAGGACATTAGCAATTTCCGAAGATGTCAAAATTGTTTTTTTCTATAACTTTTGACAGCATTATTATTATAATCAACTTTTCATATGAAAAGATATTTCATTAATAGAAAAACTTATAATAACTTATTTATATTATTTAATTTTTATATATTTCTTTATACTTAACTTATTCTATAATATATATGAAATATAGAAAACTAATATAAAAAAATACAAGCATATTAAGTTAATCCCTATGGAATAAAAATGTCAAATACGATCCAACTGTTTCGATTATAAATGACAAGTAATAGAAGCACGTCATTTTGTCTATAAATTATATCCACTGACAATTTGAGTTTGTCACGTAAGGTGATAATTATAATATTTTGCATTTTATATATATATATGGAAAGATGATTAAATAGAAGCATATTAATCTTTATTTCCGTTTCATAAGGCAAAACAAAAGGCAATCTAACATTCTCAATATAGAATATAATTATGTTATATAAAAATAGAATTTCTACAAAAGATCGTAATATTTATTACATCGATTTTTTTATTTTGGTACATTGAATAATATAATTTTTTTTTTCCAGTAGAATAATATTTAAATTGTCTAATTAATAAAAAATTTTTGTACCTGTTCATCATTGAAAAGATAAAAACTTTGTCTTTCGTATATTCTTAGTAATATGATGATTTTATTTTCTTTGAAACTGTAATTATAATAATAAAAAAAGAAACTTTCTTTTGTTTCTGAAAAATATATATGAATTTTTATTGAAACGTATTTTCAAAAAGAATAAATTACAGTAAAAAAAAAAACACAATTTTATTTTATAATAAATGAATCATATCAAGATTAATACAAAATTGTCGACATAAAATGCTAAAATCTAAGGTACGACTTGACCTATAATTTCTATCAACACTATAATGTAGGTCAATCATATATTTTGCCTTATCCTTGGAAAGATTATCATACTTTTCTTCAAAATTAGTACAGATAAAGGTATAAGCTGATCGACTGAATCGCTGCTCTAGTTGCCCAGTCGCCAATGATTCAACAGTACATCCACACTAACGATCCAGTCGCACGGCCGTCGCGAAAAAAATAGATTTTAAATTTTTGAAAACTTTTGACATCCAAGATTAGTTTTCATGGATGATCTTGTCTAATTTCTTATCATTTCAAATTTTCACGGAACTAAGAAAAAAAATTCATCGAAAACCATCAGACACTGTCACAGATTAATGTATTGGCTAACATTTGTAAGCACAATCATTTTGAAGGAAAATATATACAAGTGATAAAGAATAATCTTTCAAAAAATATGATTGATCTGTATTATAGGTTTTATAGAAATCATAGATCTAATCGGACTCTAGACTGATCAATATATACAAATATACATAACTTCACTCACTTTTTTTTTTCTACTATCACAAAAATAATTAAATATTTAAATTAAAAACAATTACAGAAATATTTAATCACTCCAAAGAATTACTCGTCGATGTTTTTCACAAGATGCAACATATCTTCCTTCGGGATGCCATGCTACGGAAGTAACCATTGTTCTAAAAATAAAACAAAATATGAAATCAATTATTCATTTATTGTTTTTTTCATACGTATGTTTTTTATTAAAAACTTTTTCACAAATTCCATTTGTTGTATTCCATATAAATAAAGATCCATCTTGAGAACCAGCACATGCATAACGACCATCGGGTGATAATACAGCTTTATTTGTATCTGTACTCACTTGAAAATCATCATGACTAAATGAATATATAACATTATTTTGTCTTAAATCAATTAATTTAAGTGTATCATCTCTAAAACATGCTAATAATTGATGTTTTTCTATTTGAAAGGAAAAAAAAACAAAAAATAAATCAAATTTTTTTCAAAATTTTTATAGAAGATTTTATTTTTCATACCAGCATTATAATATAATGATGTAATTAATGCATCATATTGTAATTCAGTTCGACATTTATCAGTAAATGCATCCCATATACAAATTTTTTTATTAAAATGTCCACTTATTATTGTACCAGTTGCATCGGTAACTACTAAATCATGACATTTAGATCCGGCAAATAAAGTTCGTGTACCTTACAATAAATAAATAAAAAAAAAATTCTATACAAATTTAAAAAAAATTTTCTTAATAAATATTACATTGTCGATTTTGTAAATCCCATACTTTAATTAATCGATCAGCACTACCTGTTACTAATTTTGTTCCAGAAATAAATTTACAAGTATATATAAGACCTTTATGACCAGTAAATGTATCTCGAAGTACTCGATAATCACTATATGACCAAATATATGCTTTTTCACCTGAACAACCAGCTAACAGACGAGCCTATTCATTTATTAAATAGTAAATAAAAACAAGATTTAATAATTATATATTTATTTACTCCTTCATTGTCAAAATCAAGTGCATTGATTGCTCCATGACTACCATGAAGTGAACAATATTTATATGGTTGACCTACAGATGGAATTTCCCATAGATGAACCATTTTATCACTACATCCTGTTGCTAAGATTGATCCAGATGGTTGAAATAGCATAGTATAAACTTCTAAGTCAGTACAATCCTAAAATAACGGAAAATTCTTTTAAATTGTTAGTTTCTTTTTTTGTTTTTGTATTTTATAAACTATTGAGTGCACCAGATTATCAATAGATTTACGCATATTTAATGATTTTTACGATTGTCTCTGTATAGACCCAACTCTCTTGGATGAGGTTTTTGTTTTTAATTGGATGTCAAATTAACTTTTTTTTCATATCAATTTTCAAAAATATTTATTCTCTAAGGGAATTATACTTATAATTAGCAAATGATGATTAATCTAATGCTTGTTTTCAAGATTGATCTAGACAAGTGTGGAAACAACAATAGAGAATCATACTCAATCAATACACATGTCAGATTTAATGACTGATGAGAAATTTTGAGTGCTCGAAAAAGAAATACAATTAGAAATTGTTGTTTCTCGCTATTTTCATCTATCCTGAGAATTCTTAAGTATGTGCTAGGTCGGCTTATCCTTCATAAGTAGATCAACAGACCGAATGGATGTGATTGTCTGTAGCAGAAAACAGTGAAATGATAAAATTCACATTTGCTATTATAAAATAAATACTATGCAATTGTTTCTTTTTTAATTACTTATATTAAAAGACCAGAGAACGAGGATTTGATGTAAAAATCTCGAATAGTTTGCGCATCATGTGATAATCAAACAGTATATGTTTGTACTTAATATTTTTATTCTAAGAATTCATGACAATGAAATAATGAAATAGAAAAATCGTAAAATGTTTAACAAGAAAAGGTGATTTGCTTATTCCCACTAACATAGAAAATCCTTCTAGAAGATTATCAAAACTTATTTCATTTTGATCAAATAGCAATCAGAATGAACGATTTCGTTGCGGAAGTGCAATAATAGCTTTTTACTTATCATCATCTTCAATATTTGTTGATGAACAACAACTTCTCTTTTGAGATAAATTAAATAAATAATTTACATGAAACTAGTTAAGTGGTAATAGAATGAGAGAACATCTTTCAAAACTCTATTCTATTCAATATTTTTACAGTCATTTAAAACGAGCAGCAATTGAATAAAGTCTCTCGTTCTATTAAATTACGAGTAAATATGATCTGTACTAATTAGATTGCATACAGATGAATAAAAGAAAAATTTTTTTGAAATTTTTTTTTACCCAATGATAAACTTCATGTGTTGGAATAGAACTTGAAACATATAATGTTGATGTTCGATAGAGTCTATCACTTGTAATATTTGCTCCTCCCGTACCAAACATACGTTTAAAACTAGAAAAAAAATTTCCTCCTCCAGTTGCAGTATTTCTTCTCTCTTGTCTCATTGATTCATCGAAAGAACTTGGCATTGTATCAAAATTAATTGTAGATGAATTATTGGAATTTCTACGATCTGTAGTATGTGGATCGCTAAAATTTTTGTCAGTTGAAATTAAGACAATATCACCATCCATTGTGTCTACTCCATTACGTTGTTGGGGTCGTCTATAAAAAGAAAAAAAATAAAAAACATTGTGTTGTTTTGTCTATAAATAAAAATGAATCAAAAAATGATAATTGATCGATATGAATGCTTTTAAGAAATAGGAAAAAGAAAAAGGAAATTAACATTATTTTTTAGTGCTTTCATTTTTGCGAAGGAAGTAATGTGAGTTTGTTGTATCCAGGAACATTTTGAGGTCGCCAGAATTGGAAAGCTCGATGACCTAAGAGGCTAATTGAAATTTTTTTGTTAAAATTAACCAGATTTTAGGAGGAAAGTCAAACATTTTTTTGAAAATTGGTGAACAAAAAGTGAATAAAAAAACGAAAATATCTCAAGATTGGAAACGTGGTCATCCCTGTTCAGGACACTCCTGTCAGAAGACTTTGTTGAAGCTATTTTTTTAACAATACCATTTTAAAGAGCACAAAATTCTGAACCAAATAGAGGATCGCCGCATTTTCTACGAACTTCGCTTAAAAAAAACGAAATTTATGAAAAATAAGTCTTTTTCAGATCTGACAACGACCAAGTCCGGTTTTCTACAAATCTTGCTAACATAGTTCATCTAATATACAATGCATTAGGTAGAAAATTCCATTGGCTATTATAATCACTATCTGAATTTAAGCTAGATACTTAACGTTATAGAAAAAAGTCAAAAATACGTTGTTGTTAGATTTTTCTTTGTGATCAACTATTTTAAGAAAGCTTTAGTCAGTAATAATGAACTTTTGGATCCTTTTTTTTATACATGGGATGTTAGGTTTGACTGTGTAATCTAATGATGCGAACACATCTTATATTAAATATGATTTTTTTTTCTTGATTCAACTGTTGCATCAGAATTATTGTCCGTTGGTCTCAAAATTAAGGTGACGAATAGTTTGTTTAATCATACCTTCTGAAATGAATTTTTATTAGTTTACCGATTTACTTTAGACGTACTGCTTTTAGTATTTATGTTTAATGAAAGTTATTCAATATTATCGTCTTCTTCGTAATTCGTTGCATTCATAATATGATAGTATAAGTTCCTTTGGCAAAAGGATCATCGTTAATAAGTGGTTCGAGCATCTCTGAGTACGTTTACTTTTTTTTCTGGCTATCTTATGTGATAGTCGTCATTAGAGTTCATTGGGTGCAAGAATTTTCGGACTTGGACCCGACCGGTAAAATTTTTTTAAAACTCGAATTCAGTCGATCAAAATTTTGGATTCAAATCTGATGAATTAATGATTTGTGGGATGAGTTCATCGAGTCCAAAAATTTCTGGACCCGAACCCAATAGGCTCTAGTCGTCATTCTCAACACCATCGCTATGTAAATATTTAATTTGAAAATTAATCTCTATTCGGAGAAGAACAATTAATTAAATTGATGATAGCTATTATATATGAGCAAATTTTCAAATAAGAACAATATAAGAAATACATCACAGTGATACGAAAAAAAACTAAAGATAAGATCAGTGGTGCAAATGTGTAAAATGAGTCATAACTTTTATTTGTTAATAAATGTCGCCGTTTTAAAATAGGATTAATTCTAGCTGACCATGGTCTCTATAGAACCAAAATATTAATACATAATATCTTTTATTGTATACAAAAAAAATAGAAAACGATCAGGGTTTGAAACCAAAGGACTATAATTTCATGATAATCTGTGGGTCTAATAATTTTAAAAATAAATTCTCATGTCTTTTATATCTTGTGTATATCAGAGAAACATGTATCTTCTTTTTGTATTACTCTAAATTTATCAATGACACGACATTTGAGCCTTCGCCGATTAATTAATCAAGACCTAAAGTCAACGTCAGATCGCTTAGTTCAATACATGTAGACATGCGACATCTTAATATAATAATGATTCGTTAATACTTACCTTCACGACTAAAAGAATCATCTTTACGTAGTGTTCAAATCAATTATATTTGATTTGTTCATCTAACTTTGATTACTGTTTGTCTTATTTAATTTTTGTTATACAATATCAAATGTAAAATCTTCGAAAAAAGAAAAAAAAAAGCCAAGCTGTAGGTGAATAGAAAATTCATACATGCACCTAAGCAAGAGCCGTATTCAATTTTTGTTAGACTCAACTGTTAATATAACAAGTTTATCGACTATTATATTTATTAAGAAATTTTCATAGATACAAAATTAACATACTTATTATATCGTTCAACTTCAGCATTAAGCATTTCCAATTGAACTTTTTTACATTCCATTAATTCATTTTCACGTTGTATACTTATTCTTCTTTCTTTTTCTAATTCTTGTTCAAGTTCGAGACAACATGGTTTTATTCGATTATACTCTATTTGTAATTGCTCTAATTGATTTTGAACAGCTAAAAATTCATCTCGAAGAACCTAAATAAAAAAAATATATATATATATAAATAAATAATAACTAGACTAATTTACTTACTTGATTTATATGTACAAGTTCATTAACTTCATATTCAGATTTTTCGATTTTACTAGTTAATAGAATACTTTCATCTTTATATTGTTGAAGTCTGAAACCATAAAATTATACATAATTAATTCTTTGTTTTCTTTTCTTTTTATTCATTAATACACACTGGATTTCTCCTTTAGTTAATTTTTCATTGGCTTCTGTTAATGCATGATTAAGTCGAAGAACTTCTCGTGCAAGCTAAAAACAAATCAAAAAGCGGAAATGAATTTTTTAAATACAATTTATTCTATATAACTTACTTCACCTTTTTCTCGTAAATGCATAACAACTTCTTCATTAGCTACGGTTAATTTACTATTTATATTTGCTAATCCTTGACTAGAGACAAAAAAAAACAATGATGATTCTAGTTTTATATATATTATTTAATAGACTAACCTAACTTCTGATGCTTTTTCTAATCCAGCATTAGCTAAACGTAAATGATTAACATCATTTTCAAGTTTAACGCATTGAATTTGAAGAGCAACATTATTGTCCGAAAGACGATTATCTATTAAATAGAAATAAAATTTAATATGATTTATAAATATCTAAACAATTATACAATGTTTTATGATTTCATCATATACATTCCATTGATGTTTGTGATCTTTTAATTGACAAACAATATTGGATTTCCAATCCATTTTAATTGATAATATTTGTCAATTAGAAAAATAAAATATTCGATTCAATCATAAATGAATATCGAAATAGTTGATAATCTACAAGCAATAGATAATTTGAATTGTAATGGATGACTAATATTGTTTTTGTATGTTCACAGCAACATTCATTCATTTTCATCGTAGATATAATCGATAGAGGTCGTCATCTATCATAAAAACAAAAATAATAAATTGATTACTCACTTCATTTCGTTTCATTTGATAGTTACCTATTATTAACATTCTTAGAAAAAGATTAATTAGTTTTTCAATTTAGGAAAACTTCAAGATGCCTATTAAGAATTTATGTTGAATATTCGTTCTAATTGTGTATTTAAAAAAGTTCCATTATATGTCGTACTTACTTTTGAGTAATAAGTATGTGCACTATAAAAACAACTTGGAATGGTTACTGAAAAAAACAATTCTTTTTTTTTTTGATGACTTAATCATGTTTATTTCATTGGATAGTATTGATATTTTCTTTATGAAATTACCCATGTCATGACTGAAAAATCACGAAGAAAATGCTTCGGGCATACCAAAAGTAGTAGCAATCCTCTCTCAATTTTGTATAGACGTCTTGAAGAAATTTTCTTTTTATATAGACTATTAGTAAAAAACAAAGCTCTACGTTTCTACACTATTCGATCATTATTCATCTAATATCATAATAATAAAATTTCCATTACACTTGTTTACCTATGATATGTAACGATAACATTAGTTCATATTGTCTTCAATTTGTATTCTTGTTTTGATCTTCTCTTTGTTCTACTTCTCTCTTTTCTGTATTCTTTTTTCTTATTTCTTTGAATGCTTAACTGTCTAATATATATATAAGAATACACAAAAGTAGTAACGATAGAACAAAAAAGGAATACAGAAACAAATTCAACAAGTTTTTCATCAAGTGTTCGAAATAATCATCTTAGTTATCTGCACATAATTGCATTCGTTAAATCCATTTATCGAATGTTTTTATATTCTTTGTTTATTTAAAGAGTTCATGAAATCATAGATGTAACCGGTCTAATTTTTTACAGTTCGGTACCTATATCGGTCCGAAAGTTTTAGACTGGACTGGACCGAGGTCGTACGAAGTGAGCCAAAGTTGGCGTGAGCCAAAGTGGAGTCCATTAGTCCATACTATACCCACTGTAAATATATAGTACTCTAGCACTGGAAGTATCTTTCCCACAACAGAACAGAAGTATTCGCTACCCGGGAGTATCATTTCCATAACAGAACAAAGGTATTCACTACCCGAAAATGCTATTACCAAAACACAACAATGATACTTACAACCCGGAAGTACTATTTCCAAAACCGAACAAAAGTACTCACTACCTGGAAGTGTCATTCCCATAACAGAACAAAAGCACTTCCGGGTAGTGAGTACTTTTGTTCTGTTATGGGAATAGTACTTTCCGGTTGTAAGTATCATTGTTCTGTTTTGGAAATAGAATTTCCGGGTACTGAGTACCTTTGTTCCGTTATGGGAATAACGCTTCCGGGTAGATGAGTACGTTTGTTCTGTGTTGGGAATGACACTTCCGGTTTGTGAGTATTATTGTTCTGTTTTGGGAAAACGGTTGGATGACGGTAAAGTAACGGCTCGCATTTTGATTGATCCATTTTCCCTATATGAAGTGAACCACAATTTTCTGGTTAGCATGTTTGGCTCACTTCACACGACCCTGGACCGACCGGTATACCGGTTTGACCGATCTACAGACAACAAACCGAATGTTAAAATGAAATCTCGTTCCATAGTGAACTGTTTTGAGTTAAATTGGTAGCTTGTCGCATACTGACAAGCTCTTTTATTCTATTAAAATTATTTTGTTTTCAAAAGGCTGTAGTTTTTATAAAAAACTGTTGAATTTTACTACCATTGTATTTCAGATCTATTATTCTTAAGCAAAAAAATCAACCAGAAAATTATAACCAGACCAAAAATCTTGGCCTGGCCTGGACTGCAAACCAGGTCGTATATAATATGGACCGGATCAGGCCAGGCTAAAAGTTCAAAAATTCGGCCTGGACAAGAGCCTAGTCTGGCAGGCCATCAGGCACCAGCCCAGGCCGGCAGCTCTGGTTTCGACATACATCACAACATGATTTACATACACCTGACTCACATATTCAATGGAATGAAAATATACCAAGAGTTCTTAAAAATAAAATTAATTTCTTTTAATAGGTCTTTCCACTCGACCATCTTTCAATTCGTCTATGCCATCCGATTCACAATTTTTTTCAAAGTTCAACCAATACAGAATTTATTGATGGTCGTGAGATAGAGGGTATAGTAGGAATATGACACTTGTAATTGGAATGGACCAAATTATTGATAGTCAAGACGAGGTCAAAGGGACTTTTTCATCAATCAAGAAGTATTTTTCTGAAGATTAATGAATAATCTTAAAGTTAACAAGAACGAAAGTATTGTCTCCTTTAGATTTGTTATATGCGAAGATCGAAATTGATCAGTTTATTGTGTCTCAATTCGATTTTGAATTTGTGTTACAGCTGGTTTTCATCAGTTTGAATAAAATTGTTCATTCCTAATTGAAATTTTGAATATAAAATTTCAGTTTTGTAATACTTTTCTCCTATTCTTAGTTCTGCTTCAGCAGTAGATGGGAATAGAAATCAATGAGAGCAATGTGTAGTATATAAATACATACTGTTTTATATTCGCAAGAGAAAATGATAAATCGATTCTTACGATTATTGAATTTTTCGAATAGTATAACAACTTCTTCCTTATGGTCAATAAACTCAAGAAAATAATATTAGCTCCTTCGTAGATTATTTGATGAACTTTGTACTTGAAATGGGTCTCTCGTTTATATCAACTATATAAACTATTTTGGATATTTCTTAATAATTGTAATGAATATGAAGTTTGACATTTACTTTTCTTTCTCATAATTCTATAACTTTCTCGTCGAACCGTTAAACAGTTATCTCTGAAAATGAACTGTGTATAATAATATAGAACGAAAAAAAAAAGAAATATTCGTTTATATCTCACAGTTTCTGTAGTAACGATCATATTCAACACATATTCTCAATCTTTATTTGACGGCAATCGATTAATATAAAGGAATAAAAAAAACAAAAAGTCGTCTGTCATTGAATATAAATAAGAGAAGATACTTAGAAAAAAATGCAGAAAAAATTATTTGCATCAATATATGTCGTTGATTACATGTTTCGACGATCTCCCCGATTTAGTATTGATCGAGGTGTTTGTGTATCTATCATCTTACGACATTCTTTGGGGATTGACTCATCTTAATCATCATCTAACAATGTTAATGACTGAACGAGGTTTCTTTTCTCGTATTAATTTATCCCTTGCACGTTACAATCAATTTAATAGAATTGTTGATTTTCTTTCATTGAATCATATTCAATCACTCTCAATTGATAGTGATGCATCTCCATTTCAATTAACTCGTTGGCCTTATTTATCTCGTTTGAAAACTCTACGTATCATCGGTGTATACAATCATGATGATCTTTCAGATTTTGTTATACTTCATGCAGCAACACTCACTCATCTCATCATAAAATCAAACGAAAGAATGGTACCGGTAACTATCACCCATTTGTTTCTAATACATGTAAAACTCTACAAAAGGAGATCCTAATTCAATTTGAACACAGCACTCCTTTTTTGGTATGTTTAACACACCGCACAACACTGCGTGAGGGTGAGGGCTGTGCCGAAAGCGAGAAAGTTTCCAATAGAGTGGAACCATTTAAGTAACAATTAAAAAGGTAATATTGTTGTGACGTTAAATTCCTTTATAATGTTGCTAAGAGAAGACCAATTTGTATGCATAGACTATAAAAGATAAATTATTTTCATTATTTGAAAATTTTAGACCGATCAACATTTGAGTCGAATAAAATTGTAGTAGATGTAGTCAAAAAAGACAGATTGATTATTTTAGATTGAATTTCCTTCGATACAGATTGTCGAAATCGATAAAATAAAGAATAAAAAATATCCGGTTAAATTATTTGAAAAGTTATCTGATTCAAATACGGATTTGATTAAAAAATAGTTTTAAAACTATGATTTACGTAACTAAATTATTAAAGTTTATTATTACATTAATATGTTAAAATATAAAATAGTTTTTTTATTCTGTGTGAGATTTTTTTCAAACAATCGTATGGAATTATTCGTAGCTTCCTAATTGCGGTCAAAAATTAGGCCAATTAACACATCAGTGATCGCAATTTGGAATAGAGAAGTTAACGTTGATTTCATTTTTTATTCGTTTCCAAATTGCGATCACTTTTTTCTTATCGATTAATTAACAGTTTTAATTGAAATCAATATTTATAGAGAAAATAAATAACAAAAAAAAACCTATTCTTCATCACTACTATCTTTTGCATCTTTTCGAATGTGAATATAATGATTATGATTTCCACCATTTGTTTTTAAAATTACATCGTTTTTTAAAGTAATAGTACGAGAACACAATTTGAAAGTACAGACATAGATTAATGTACCATTCTGATTTTCACGTCTTAATCGATAAAGGTAACCATTATATAGAATTGCTTTTTCACCTTTTTCGGTTGTTGACCAAGTAAAGTTTGTATTCATAGTTTGATATGTAGTATGATTTTTCTCTCCACGATTCATATATATATATATATTGTCAAAAGAAAAGAACTCATAATTTAATTTTTCAATAACTAATTGATCTAAGTGATCGCAATTTGGAAACGAATAAAAAATGAAATCAACGTTAACTTTTCTATTCCAAATTGCGATCACTGATGTGTTAATTGGCCTAATTTTTGACCGCAATTAGGACGTAGCCGAATTATTTGACTTTTGATTGAGAAAAAGAAAATAGAACTAATCTGTTCATCAAAAATTGTATCATATTCTAAAATATATCTGTAGAATTTGACGTTAACAATCATATAAGAAAGTTGAATCATTAAAACAACCAAAGCTTGCTCTAATTTTCTAACAATTTCATTGTGAAACTTGTGAAACTATCTCTAATAGTTCGAAATATATTTGAAAAATATCTTGCTTGAATAATTATTAGGATCACATTTTTAAAGATAACAGAGATGAAAGTCGTCATGAGATAAAATATTGAAGAGAATAGATTTCGTTTAGCGATAATGTAGAATAGAATGAGAATTGTTTCAAGAGTCTAAAAATTTTCATCAATTATAAATGGTATAGAGAAAACTTTCTATTAATCAAGAAACTTTCTAAAGATCTGACATTAATTACTATTAAAAAATTTATTTGAACAGAGTCTTCACTTTGTTGATTTCTTTTTCAATCAAAGTACTATTACTTTCAATCTGAGATTCAAAAGACTACTTAGCATTATTTTTCACTAATAATACGTTGATATTTATATACTGGTTTTTAGGATGGTTTTCCAATCACATTTGACTATCCACTAGGCGACATGGTGACGTTAATAAATAATGTTCTTCTTATTCATTTACCTGCACTTCGATCTCTTGACTTGGGCATGAATTATTACGGGACAAGTTGGCCCATTACTACTGCGGTCGCTCCTCTCACTTATCTGCGTCTTTCTTTATTAAGTATGGATATTTTATTGCGTCTTATATCGACAGAACCACTCTCCGACACATTACGTCAATTACACATAACCATAGGTGATAGTAATTTCAACAGTCATTGCCCTGTGTCAATGTCTAATCTATCAATTCGAATGATTAATTCACATACATTTTCACTTGTTCAAACATTTTTCTCAATGTTAACAATTGAATGGACAGTTTTTGAAATATTGACATCTTCGAATGTTATGCCTGTTCTTCGACGTGCTAATGTATCTCTGTTTATTAATATTAATGATTTAAATTGTATTAGCTCATCAGGAATCTTTACTGATCATCGTCATGTTGATGTTCATTTTGCATTTAATCTTCTGAATTGTCCTCCATATACCAAAGTAACACCATGTATACCACGTGGAAATCGTTTTCATTCACGAGAAATTGTTGGTGCAACATTCGTTGTTAATCACTGGTCTCCCAGATCAGAATGGCTCATTGATAGCGATCCTTTTGTAAGTTATTGTTTGATTATATTTTTGATCGCCTTTTATTTCAAGATGTAATATGTAGGAAATGGAAATCATTGTTCTTTACTTAATAATTTAGTTTTTATCTAACAATATGTCAATGTATTTCATATATTTATAGAGTCGTGGACTTCATTATTACCATCATATGTGGTATACTCTTCCATGGACATTTGATGAATTCTTTCACGAATATATTCCATATAGATGGATTACCAAAGTACAAGTGTTTGAAATACCTTCTCACAATACTACGGCAATGGCTCAATTATCTCTTCGTACATCAGATGCAGCGGGTCAAACTTTGCCATCACCTATATTCTTGTTACCTCATGTGGCATTATCCAATTATATTGAAACACTGCACTTGTCCTATTACAATAGACCTATTAATATACATTTATCCGCTCTTCGCCATGTAACTCTTCTAAATAGCGTCAATTGTCTCAACTATTTCTCTTCATTTCCAAGAACTATCCGTTCTATTCACATTCTTCTTTGTCATACTTTTCCGAACTGTATATTACCAAATTGGCCAGTAGTTTTACATTTTCTTTCAACTTTGCCAGAATTGAGTTCGTTACAAGTGTTTATGTATGACTTATCAAAAACGGTTGAGGACAAAAATTGTCAAATAATTGCGAAGGCAACATCATCGTTGAGAGATTTTGGTTTTTACTTTCGACGAAAATTCAGCTCATTAGATGATGATATGAAAACTACATTTGAAGATCATACAAAATTTATTAAACAGTTATGTGATCAAATACTCCTATTATGTCTTGATAAACAACTTCATTATTCAATCGAAGATGATGGTTGTGGACTCACAATGTGGTTCTAATTGATATATAAATCTAACAGCAATTGGTTCTAGTTATTGTCAAATGATTAGAGACTCTTTTTGGCACAAACACTCTCGTTTATCGTTATTATTCGTTTTTTTAAATATTAATGTGGGATTGACTGTCATGAGTGATGTCATCAAAAAGAAAAAGAATTTTACCTAAAATAGTGAATAATTAAGACGAGACATAATTTTCAAATTGTACTATGTCTCTTACTGCGATGTAGTGACACCGTCATACGGAAGTTTTCTCTATTCTATTACATAAAAGAACTTCTCGATATTGTTACTCTCTTTTCATTTGTTGTATTCCTTTCTTTCTTTCCTTGGTATATCTCAACTTCTTTAAATGTAAATATAATAAATAATGCAATAGAATAAATCTTATACTAATTAATATCTGAAATTTTCGACCTTTATGAGTACGGTAAAGATGTCCACGGGGGTGCTACCACGCCGCTGCTGCCGTGGCGATGAGGACGCGGTAGCGATGGGTTTTTCGAAGGAGAATGCAAAAATGCATGAATCCGAACAGAAATTCAATGCTCAAAAGTAAAGAGGAGAAAAACATCAGAATAAGGTGTTTAATTATAAAAGTGTCAAGTACTTTTACTTGCTGTATAAATATAATAAACATCGTCTTTAAAGTTGACTACCTTTGATTCGTTTTTTATGACCATCGTGACATCATATGATCAGCAAGTAAATGAACATAAGAATATTTTATCGGAATCTTTTTTCTTTCATATACTGATAAATTCACTGCAGGATATTTATTATTAAAAAATCATCTATTTTAATTATTCGAATTTCTTTAAAATTATGATGAATATCGATAAGTGATGATGCTCGTTCGACTTACTGTCATAGATAAAAATATAGTTCTCGATGGCACTAAGATGAATCTATGTGAACTAAGATCTATGCTCTACAAATCAGAACAGATTATTGCTTCGCTACATTTTCGAATCATCAATAGGATTTTTTAACTAGATCTTAGACCTCTCTGAAAGTTTACGTTAAAACCAATAATTCTTTCTAATGATATAGAACTTAAAATAAATACCGTTGATATGTGACTAATAATTTCAAAAATTTAATACGTTTATGATGAAAATCTGCTTTAACAGAAACCTATAAACCCATCTGAAAGTCATCCGACTTAATTGTTTCTAAGCTGAACATCTTTTATTTTTCATACAATACGTCGGAAATATAAAAAAATGTTTTATATAAAAGTGTCTTAAATTTTCAAAAATAATCAGAAACCCCAAATTCGTTTTAATTTTTATCAAGTTCATGTATGTATTTAATAGAAGGTTCAATTACTTAATCAACTAAGCTTTAATATTTCAAATATGTTTCGTTGATGGAAATAGTGAAAGATACTTCCAATACACAAATAGACATAAATTAGTTTTCATATTGCAAGTAAACGGACAAAGTACAGATTTATATACTTAAGTTTAAGTACAAATCCGTCCGTCCAAGCTTTGTATGACTTCAAAGCAGAGATGTCCATCACGGCTAGAAGACTGTCGCGATTCTAGAAGGGACAAGGTTCAGCGCCGCTGCGGCGATGATTTTTGAGAAACTCTACCAAAATCTCTCTTCTGCCACTGTGTCAAATTAGCATAGTTGGATTGAATCCATTAGACTCAATCTCAATTCTAACTGTTGGATTTGTAGACACTAAAATTGAGTGCAAATTCATCCAATTTTACAATCTCAATAGAAAAGAAGCTGTCACTGCTGCAATGGTATTCTTGAAATATCACCCGCGCCGCAGTGATTTTTAAAAAAAGTGTCAGTGCGGTACCGAGAGTGCCACCATGACCATCTCTGCTTTATTATCCTGTTAAGTTTCAAATTTCGTTTTTTTATTATTGTCCGAGATTATTTCTTTATTAAATCAGAATTAATCTTGTAAATAAACAGTTACAATAGAACATGAAAATAAAATCTCAAATGATCTTATTACATTCTAACCTAATAGAAATAAAAAAAAACAGCATGCAAAATATTCTATATCATTTCATTAACTAAATTCAAAAATGATAAATTTGTATAGGTTGATTATGTGAATATGTTTGAATTTTATTATTAATTTCATTTGTTTCTGCATATTTCATTCGAGTATCAAATTTTTCTTTTTTTTTCATCTGGTATAAAAACAAATACAGATCGACCAAAAACAAGATCCATATCTTCTAAACTTTTTCCTTTTGTTTCAGGATAAAATAAATATATTAAAATACTCATAATACCACAAAAACTACCAAATATACGATAAGTATTATATGTAAGACTTTCAAGAAATGCCGGTACAAGAAATGAAACTATACAATTTGTTGCCCAATTAGCAGCTGTTGTCAATGATGTACCTTTTGAACGCATACTTAATGGAAATATTTCTGTATAATAAACCCAAGCAGTTGGTCCCCAACTAAATGCAAATGCTGCAACAAATATATAAACAAAACTTATAATAACATAAAATGCTTATCGATTTGGTATAGTAAATTGTATAGCATCTGTTGTTTCATTAAAATATGTTGATCCATGTGCACTCATTGTTCCACCAATAATTAACATTGATAAAGCCATAATTATTGCTCCACTAATTAATATAAAACGTCGACCTAATTTATCAATAAATAAAATAGCTGGTATTGTTGCAAGAATAATTACACATCCATTAATGCCTGTTGCAAGTAATGATGCACGTTGATCATTTAAGCCAGTTTGTTTAAAAATTTCCGGTGCATAATACATAACAGAATTAATACCAGTAAGTTGTTGTAAAATTTGTATACTTATACCAAGTATTAAACGACGACGTAATGGTGGATAAAAAAATTGTGAATATAATTTAATTGATTTTTCACGTTCAAAATCAATTTCATTTTTAATATCATTATATTCATCAAGTACATTAATTGATGAAGTTGAACGAATTTGTATTAAAACACGTAATACTTCATTATCACGATCTTGAGTCATTAACCAACGTGGTGAAAATGGAAAAAATATAATACCTATAGCAAGTATTAATGCTGGAACAATTTGTAATGCTAATGGTATACGCCATGCAGCACTACTACCAAAAAAATATATATTTGTACCTAAAAAATAATCAATAAATAAAAACAATCGTCAATTAAAACTTTTTTTTTTTTACTATAATTAATCCAAAAACTAATTGCAATACCAATTGTTATAGCCCATTGTTGAAGTGATACAAGACGTCCACGAATTTTGTTCGTTGCTATTTCTGATTGATATACGGGTACAAGCATTGATAATGCACCAACCGATATTTCTATAATATTATTAGAAAAAATTGTTGTTTTTCTGCAAGTTTTTAATATCTTACCAGCAACAAGACGAGATAGAAGTAACATGAATAAATTAAATGATCCTGTTTGTAAAATAGCACTAATGATAAAAACAATGGAAAAAATTACAATGGAATATTTTCGTGAAAAATGATCACCGGCTGGACCTGCTAAAAGTGCACCAACAAAACAACCAACAAGCATAATACCCACAATAGAACCTGATACAGAACTTGTTAATGAACCACGTGTGATACTTGCGATGCCACCAAATGCCAGAAGAAAATCTGACATTGTAAGAACGCCTGAAATGACTCCAGTATCATAACCGAAGAGAAGACCACCTATAGCAGCAAAACCACCAGTTAAATAAACTTGAAAATTTTTATTCGATGACATTGTAATCGACTATAGTAATGCGAGCTGTTTATTTGTTTCAATGATTATTGATAAGAAAGAAAGAAAAAAATCGATTGATGATTGAATTAAGAAAAGTACTTTTTTATTCTCTATCCAATATAAAAAAAAAAAAGACATCATTGTAAAATCCATTATCTTATTTTTTTTTTGTTTTTAATATGAAACTATAAGCTACTATATTAGTCATATGAATTTTCAATTTGCTTACTTTTAGCTAAATTTTTCTCACTTTGAAATAAACTGTATAATATTGTTCGAGACTAGTGAACGAATTCGTTAAAGGCTCAAAAAATAAGATTGAATAGCAAAACCAATAGGCTTGTGTTAATCTCTATAAGTTCTTTTTCGCAGGTACCAAAAAATATTCGAATCGATTGTTTTCTCAAGTGGACAATACTAAGGAGGCATTCAAAAAGCTGACGAATTTGTCGATTTTGTGATTTATAGCTCGTTAGATAGAGCACAATGTTTAATTTCGAATGTACTATAGTTTATTGATTTTATGATGAGGTTTAATGATATTACATAGGTTTTTCTGAACCTTCCACAGAAGAAAATAACGTTTTTTTCTCAAAATAAGGTTTTTGATTTTTACGTTTCCGTACGTCGCAGATTTCTCTGTCATTAAAAATGTTAGAAAGCTGTGCTTGATGTCAAAATGAAAGCAAAAGTTAGCTTTACAACTTAACAAAATCGAATTTTTTCGATTTATTTATTAATATTTATAAAAAACTAACTGTTCTGGACTTACATTCCTTGGATTTTTCATATTTTTGATCAAACGAGTTTTCTAAAAACACAAGCTAAGAGAAAGTCGAGCTCTGTTAAGTTGTAGTGCCATATCTTGGCTATATTTTAAAATACCAGTCCAAACTTTCTAGCATTTGAAATGGCAGAGAAATTTGGAACGCACGAAAACGTAAATTTTGACCCATGATCTTAAGGTAACTCATTTTAGACTCAATATATCAAGCTGAAATTTTTACTGTGAGATGTTTAACTCGAAATGCATCTCCAGTGAAAATTTCATCAAGATTGGATACTCGAAAAAAATTTCATTTTTAAGGGGAGCCCCTTTGAAAGATACTTCGACTTTTTGTTAATCTTTTGTTAAGACTTGGAAAAAAGCAAAACTCTCACATAAACAATCGCATCATGCGATTTTCATTCTTTAGGAGAGAAGACCCGTGGTCCTCGCAATTTGATTGGTCTGATCAATCAGGCGAACTCTTGATACAGGATTTTTGAAAACAATATTTTGAAGCTACTTTTCCTTTTGATTTACAAAAGGTCGACATACCTAGCTTGTTCTATTCGAGAGTTATAAGACTTTTTCTGAGACTTCTGATTTCAGTCAATTGATTTATGATCACCCGCAAAAGCAACTAAACAGGAAAGTAGTTCATCATGCTGAATCGAATGGTAGTATTTGATTTTGTAGATTCGAACTGATCTATTTGAAATAGATAATAGTTTGATGATAATCAACATAATAAACGAAAAAACTATACAGAAATATATCTATTTTTCTTTATAAAGTTTATCTTGATGCTATTTATGATTTGGCACATTTATTTTTTAAATTATTATTATTATTTTTTTTTATATTCATCAATAAGTAAATATAAAATTTAAACATGATTTTCAGCTATTTGCATGTGTCTTTGTCTTGATCTTGGTCGTCGATTTAATAATTGACGTTGATTTAATGATAATGGTGATCGTTGTTGATGTCGTCTTGTTTTTAATACTTGTAAAGAATGATTTGATACTGATTCTAAAACAGTAATATCATCATTATTAGCCATATTCCATGTAGTAACTGTTGCCATTTGTTGATTCATTGGTTGTTGTAATTGTGTTAAACGATTTCTTATTGTTGTTGATGTTAATGTTGAAGTACTATATCGACGAATAATATTAAAAAGACATACAAATTGATTAAAAGGCCATCGTGATAATAATTGTTGACCAGCTGATGAATAACGTGTATCAAAACCAGCAATAATTAATGGATCAAGAAGAATATTCAAAGATTTTGTTACTTGTATAGCATCTTTAAGTGGATGAGATTTTGTATAAAGCATTATAATTTCAGCAGGTAACCAAAAAACAGCAAAATTAAGAAATAAAAAAAGTATTTGTGATATAAGATTTTTTCGTATATGTACATGACGTTTAAATACTCGAGTAAAACGTCGTTGCATACGTATTAAATCAACATAAATTCTTATATAACAAGCTAATGATATTGATATTGGCAAAAGAAATATATTACCTAAAGAAAAATCAAAGAAATGTTTACTCTTATTCAAACAAAAAAAAAGATAGATGCTAATTTAATTATTATTATTATTATTATCATCGGCACAAATCTTTCATATAGTTTTTATCTAGTTAATAAAAGCAAAAAGTCGATCATATAGCTTGAAAAATAATAAGATAGTTAATTGAAAAAGACATACATAACACTCCGAAGAAAGAAACATAAAATATGAGTGGAAATATCATTATGATGTAATAAAATAGTATCTTTGTGAATAACGATATGCACAAGAGTCTTTTCTTTTTTGATTCCAATCTTATTTCTAAGATCTAGAAAATTTTTATTAATTTCATTTGATGAGTAATAGAAAAGTTTAGAATAGTTTGGCTTTCCAAGCTTTCGTTCCTGAGATAATATCGAAATTGTACTGAGTTTTTCAATAAAAAGGCTGTAGTCATGTGAAAAATCGATTTTTGATTTCAAAGTTTGCATGAACAAAATTCTCAATGAGATTAGTTGATTGTGAAACTAGTATTTCTTATCCTGAGATATTCAATATTCAAAATTTTCTCATGTATAAAAGCAAATTTCATTCACACATTTACATCTCTAGAAAGGAAGTTACTAGTTTTACAATCAACTAATCTCTCCTTAAGGCCCCTCTCTTCAAAAAACTGATTTCAGTCCAGGAACGTTCAAATGGCATGAAATTTTCAGCCCAATATCATGACTTTTGAAGAAGATATTGATCAAAAATAGCTCATTTGGTAAACCAAATTTCTCTGTTTCAATTCATTCTATATATTTAATTTTGTTTTTATTTGAAAGAGCATGTCAGAATGCAGTACAGTACAACGCCCTTTTTTAAGGAAAGAAAAAGGATCGAAAGTTCAATGACTCGAAAAATGACGCTCTAATTATATAAATGTTTGTATATATAGTAACAGCAAAGCTGTTTAATCAAAAACAATGCTCTGTACTGCACTGCGTCTTGACGTGCAAAAAAATTAAATATATAGGATGATTATTGATAGAGAAATTTGGATTACACGATCAAGAAACAATACACGGAGAGAGAAAAAAACCAAAAAGATTTTCTGCTTTTTCAGAAAACAGCTTATTTTTCGAAAAAAAAAACGAAATACCGAGTCAAAAATTTTTATCGTTTATAAAAGATCAGATCATAGATTATCTTCCCATGCATTTATCTTAATTTCGATTATTTTGATGAAAAGTAATTTATTTTAGTTATCAAAAAAGAATTGATCATTATATCTAGTCTTCAAAAACAGAATAAGTTCATAGAAGTCAGAGCTGTTATATGTCAAGAACTGATTTGTTTAAATAATTCAGTTCTTTTAAAAAGATATAAT